AGGTAGGAGGAGGAGGCGGAGGAGGAGGAAGAGGAGGAGGAGGAGGAGGAGGAGAAAGAGGAGGAGAAGGAGGAGGAAGAGGGGGAGGAAGGATTTGAAGCAGGACGGATGAGGAGAAGGATGACGACGACGAGCAGGAGGAGGAGAGGGAATGACGCCCGTCCTGGAGCCTCTTGGTGTCGCCTTGGCTCTCCTAGAGCGTGCTGGGGGTCCCGTGGCCTGTTTGGGCTCTTCGGGGCCTCTTGGAGCCTCTTGGAGCCTCCTGGGCCCTCTGGAGCTCCCTGAGTGTAATTCAAAGTGGGTACTCCGGGGGGCTCTTGAGATCTCGTGGGCTCTCCCGGGGCCGCCATGGGCCCTCCTGGAGCCTCCGTGGGCCCTCTAAGAACTCTCTCGCGGGGGCGGAATGATGAAAACAATTTCACGCATGGGGGCCTTTCCGTTGAGAAGGGGGGCGCGGTGCAGAGTGGGTCCTTCTGGGGCCCTCCGGAGATCTCCTAGGCATTCCCGAGGCCGCCATGGGCCCTCCTGGAGCCTCTGGGGGCCTCCAAGAAGCTTCTCGCGGGGGCTGAAAAATGACGACAGTTTCACGGATGGGAGCCTTTCCGTTGAGAAGGGCAGCGCGGTGAAAGGTAAGAAAGGGACGACAGTGTCGCATTTGAGGCCCCAAATCGTCCTTGGGCACCTCGGGCGCGAATCCCCCTCCCTCATAGTACGGTGCGATTTCCCCTCCCCCGCTGTCCCGCCGGACCCCGGGAGGGTGATTTTTGTAGTTTTCGCTTGTAAGAAACACTTCCCCCCCCTCTCGACGGTGACGGAGGGCAGGCGGCGGGGGTGGGCGGGTTGGCGGGGTGGCGGGTTGGCTGGGATTGCGGGGTGGCTGGTTGGGCTGGTTGAGCGGATGGGTTGTTTGGGTGATTGGTTGGTTGGGCTGGCTGGTTGGGCTGGCTAGGGCAATCGGTTTCGATTCGCTCTTATCTGCTCACGTGGCACTCAACATGTTCTGTATGTGTATATATATATATACATAGATTCAAGACTGCAGTGGCGCTTCGCGCCATGCACCTTGGTCCTTGAAGTTTGGTTTGCAGGCGGAATGGCAGGAAGGTCAAGCCGACAATTTAGCCATAACTCCTTGTTGCCTTTTTCTGGCATCGCCGTTATAATGACATTATCCGTTATCCTTCCTCCATGTTTCTTTTTCTTCATTCTCGCCATACCCTGCGCATTCTCCCTATCCTCCGCAGCTCTCCTCCTTGGAGAGCCTCTGGGGGCCTCACACAAGTTTTTTACCTAACAGCTCTTGCTGATAGGTTTCTAGTGGTCTCAAAAGAGAGCATCATGACTCCTCAGGGGGGTCTGGGCGGGACCCGGGGAGGCTGCCGTCGAAGCCGAAATCGCTTGGGACATCCTCGCAAAATCGCTCTTGGTGCTCCCAGAACTCCATTCCCGGGCCACATTTTGGATGCCCGGAGCCAACTGTAGGCCACTTCGTGCTCTTCGACTTCCCAGAACTCCATTCCCGGGCCACATTTTGGATGCCCGGAGCCAACTGTAGGCCACTTCGATTTCCCAGAACTCCATTCCTGGGCATGATTTTGAATGCCCGGAGCCAACTGTAGGCCACTTCGTGTTCTTCTAGTTCCCAGAACTCCATTCCTGGGCCACATTTTGAATGCTGAGGCAGGCTGATGCTGCGGCCGAGGCAGGCTGAGGCTGAGGCAGGCTGAGGCTGAGGCCGAGGCTGAAGGCAGACTGAGGCTGAGGCTGAAGCAGACTGAGGCTGAGGCTGAGGTAGGCTGAGGCTGAGGCTGAAGCAGGCTGATGCTGAGGCAGGCTGAGGCTGAGGCTGAGGCTGATGCAGGCTGAGGCTGAGGCAGGCTGAGGTTGAGGCCGAGGCTGAAGGCAGACTGAGGCTGAGGCTGAAGCAGGCTGAGGCTGAGGCTGAGGCAGGCTGAGGCTGAGGCAGGCTGAGGCTGAGGCTGAGGCTGAGGCTGAGGCTGAGGCTGAGGCTGTGACTGCGACTGCCGTTGCCGCTGCGACTGTCATCGCGAAGGCGACTACGACTGCGAGAACATCAGAATTCTACAACTGGATTTTCATGTGAATCTTAAGGGGAATGCTTTCAGATATGCTTCTACACATCGCTGTTAGGTTGCTTTGCCGGGATAATCAGGGTTTCTTGAGGCCTTCTGGACGCCTCCTGGGCGTGTTCTGGGAGCCTCTGGCGGCTTCCTCGGGCCACCCTGCCTCCAACCGCGATCTCCTTGAACGACCGGGTCACGATTTGGAATGCTTCGGAGGGTGTCTTGGGGCTATCTTGCGCCCCATGGGGCTCTCTCAGGGCCATCTTGGGCCCCTGTTGTGCCGTTTTGGGACTCTCTTGGACTGCCTGGAAGCCCTTTCGGATGGTTGTGGGGCGATTTTGGAGCCTCCCAGACGGCTTCGGACGCCCAGAAGACCGCCGTCTTGGAGCGTCGGGAAGCCGAAAAGGGGAACCCCGAAATGTACCAAAACCAAAAGAAAATCAATGATTTTTGCCTCTTGGG